TATGGGGACTAACATCATCATCACAAAATAAAGAATGTCTTCCTCTAAAAAAAATTGCCTAACTTTGGAGCGTTAGTTACCCCCTTCCTGACAAGCTAGCATGATTTGTTGGTACTAATTGATGTCTATGAAGATTCTCAGTCATCCAGGTCATAGTTATAGTTGGGTACTAATTGATGCCTTAGGTCTTTTAGTTTCATATGATAACTTACTGGTCTTCACTAGCTTTAAAACAGAGCCCTTGCAGCTCTTAAAGACAGCAATGTCAGCTAAGAACAAACATTTTCTAGGCTCTTCGCGCCTAGATAGCTAAGATTAAGTTAACGTAATGCTAAGTTATTGAAACACTCAGCAGAGCAAATGCATTTTACATCACAAACATAACATTAACGTTATACCTGGTAACGTTAGTTAATGTTAGTGCCTCCACAAAATACATTTGGAAATGATAGCTCGGATTTCTTAGTTAGCTAGCGAACTGTGATAACATTACCCACCCACTACCTGAGGAAAGCTAATGTATAAGTTAGTTTGAATGAAGAATGCTAATGTTAGTGCTAGCTAACACAGGCTATATCAAGCGTGAGTGCTGAAATTACGGTCTGAGTCAAGGCCAGGCAGGTTTAATCTTAATTTACTTGGACAAACACGTTAACAGTAGACAAAGTTTAATATTTATTCCTCACCAGTATCAATGTTGTTGGTTCTTCTCGGCTGTTCTGTGTCCCACGCTGGCTCCAGGTGTTGGTCGAAATTTTTTTATATAGAATCTATGGTCAAAATGTACCGTGAAGAGCCACCGCCCACCACATTATTCTGTGATGTTTTTTTTAATACATCTCAAACTCAACAATACGCACGCGCAAATCATAATTAATTTAATAAAAATGCTCTGAACAAATGAATAAATTCAATTTGTTGTCCTGCTTTATTATTATATATGTATCCAAAAAAAAAAAAAAAAAAAGGTTAAACCATAAACACAAATTAAAATGTTTAGTTTAAATGAAAAATTTTCATTTAAACTAAACATTTAAATTTTCATTTTTCACTATTGGAGTGAGAAAATACATATTAAATTAACAACAGCAATGTTAGACTTTTTTCAGTGTATATATGATAGGGCCGGGCAATAAAACAATAATGATAATTATCGCAATATAATTTTCCTCAATAACAATATAATAAATGTTCAATACATCGTAAATAAATATTTGGTTTAATTCATTTGAATCATGAACAAATTAGCACTTATTACAATAAATATTTATTTTGTAGAGAAAATGGGACTGAAAAAAGATTTACTAGTCATATTTGTTGAAAAAGATTTATCAGAATAGTTTTCAATGTTCTACCTCAGATTTATTAAGTGATACACGTATGGCATCAATTGTTTGTCACATTCAGACCATAAAGAAAAGTTTAACCACACAATTAACCATCTGGTTTCTTCAATTTACACTCAGGAGCAAAAATCAGCCTTTGAACTTGAAAGAAATATTGATTTGACATATATTGTGATAATAATCGACATCGAATGATATCAAATGTTTTTATCGTGATAACATTTTTGGCCATATCGCGCAGCCCAAATATGAGATCCATAAAATTTGGGTATCTGTAGAAATACTTAAACTTATTATTTTTAACTAGTGCTGGGCAACAATTAAAATTTTTAATCGCGATGAATTGCATGATTTTCTTGCGATTAATTGCATTGTTACACGCAAAATTGAATAATGAATTCTAAAGTAGTATATTGCGCACTTGTAATTTAAATGTACTGCTATATACACAAAAGTGCAATAACATATAAACAAATAATGTGCTTTTTACCAGCAGTATTCCCTTTACACAGCAGCAATAAAATATTACCTAAACCTATAACCTAAACATTAATGTAATCAAATCAAATATTAAACCAAAGCTATTTGCCACTGCCAGGGCATTACCTTTTATCTAGCTTGTTAAAACAAGTTACCCTCAGAGTCCAGTTTTCTTTTTTTTCTGAACAGGTATTAGCAGGTATCTTATCAGGGAGCAGCAGAAGTACTATGTTCAGTAGGGTTGGGACGATGTCTACATTCAAACTCGCACAGACTTTACTTGGTTAACAACTTGGAATGACGTTACAAGTCGCGGTGGTTATTTTACAAGCACAGACCAGGTAACATTAAAGCAGCATTGAACACAGGGTGCAGATGCTGGTTTGGATTGTTAGAGTTGTTTGATAGGCTGCATCATTAACAAGCAAGCGGCTCACCTGCTGCCGTGAAAGCGGATCGCGGCTGGAAAAATACGGAAAAGAGATGACAGAGTGATGTCTGTGAAGATTCTCAGTCATCCAGGTCATAGTTATCCAACGAAGGTTAAAGTCAAGGGCAACTGGACTTGGTTGAAGATACTGGAAGACGTTTCGTCACTCATCCAAAGGACTTCTTCAGTTCTGACTGACTGGCAGGGAAACTCAGCTATTTAACCTCAGTGGGGTCGTTTGCCAGGGTCATCGATACCGCTGGTTCGTTAGTGTTCCTGGTTGACATGACATGATGACAGAGTAGTTTGCTGAAGCCTCCCTCCACTGCTTGTTTGGGTGGGTGATTTGCAGGCTGAAAACTGTTGAAAACTGTGTTAACGTGCGATAAAATAATTGTTAGCGTTAATTAATTAATGCGATAATAACGCATTAACGTGCCCAGCCCTCTTTTTAACCCAAATTCAGTTGTCAACTTTATAAAAAAAAAGAGTGCTCTCTAGTTTCCCAATCAAGGCTTTGCATTCATTTCCCTTTTTCTAGCTTTGGGATTTCCATATAAATGTCTCTTTCACCCTTCCTGCTCCCTTTTATTCTCTTTCATCCTGTTTCTCTCTCTGTCCTTTGATCAAATGCCTTTTCCCTTGTGTTTGCTGGGATGTCAAGCTTGACTGCTTGGCAGTGGCCTTCCTTGTAAATGTTATTTCTATTGCTCTACTGCCACAGATCACTGGTCAGAGACTGGAGTGGCAATGGAGGCTTCTACACCATGCACCACTCACACATTTCCAAGTGATGCTCATTGAAAAGGTGATTCTGTCTGTCTTTGCGTATAAAGCTCTCCTGGTATGAATATGACAAAATTGAGCCCTTAACACCAGGATTTCCTTTGCAAGTTCTGATGAAGAAAAAATAGTCATGCCCAATGTGACTTGTATCCTTATGGAGTTTTACTTAAGGTTTCAGGATTATTGGTGAATGAGCGGATTGAACGGATTCTGTTGTGAGAAAAACACATTTTTGTCAGGATGTATTACAGAATAACACAGCTATAATTGTATTGTTCATTTACTCATTTTCATTGTACAAGCCATTCGGCCTACATTTCTATAAACATCTCATGTATCCAGTGTCACATGCATCCCTTGATACTCTTTGTTTGTCAGGGATCATTAAACACATGAAACACATCTGAGCACATCCCTTGTACCTGCTATAGTGACTAGACCCACTGACTTGTGGGTTGTTTTGTATGTCACTGAATTATTGCTGTAAATCAGGCAAGTGATTGGCAAAGGGTAAAAAAGCAGGAAAATATACTGAGAGCCAGTTACACAGAATCCATTGCCATGGTTACTTCTCGAGCGCTTGTTTGCCTGTCTGTTGCTGAGGAGCGCTGAGTGACCCCGCGATCCAAGCCGTCTGAAAAGGCCTTATATAAACCCTGTCACAACCATTCACAAGAAATTACTTTATAAGGTGCCAAAACCTTTACATAAGGACTTAAAAAGCAACCATTCATACAGCAAAGTGTATATAGGCTATATGATTGATCAATCAACAAGTCAAGGTAAACATTAGATAGCTTATAACAAGCAATAATCAAAACATACCCAATTTATCTGATCCTTATTGTCTACTCAGTGTTGGGCAGGTTACTCAGAAATAAAAGGCCTATAGCTATTACCTTTAGCATATAATCCTTAAAAAAGGTAATATTAGCTACTCTACCCTACTACTGGGTCATATAACGCCAATGTCTCCGGACGAGTTCAAGCATCACTGGTAGTAGCGGCCGGAGTTTCTTTCTGAGTTTCACGTTGCTGTGCTGCATTAGCTGATGCTTTAATTAAGAATAGATGTAGAATTGTTCGCGTTTGAAAGCTTTAGGCTGGTCGCACAAAGTGTACAACGGACGACAATGTAATTTGCACATTAGACTGTGACACAATAATGGCAATAACGGTACTTACAGATGTTGAAAATACCTCTCCTCCCTGTTCTCCAGTCTTCCTTTAGCTTTTTGGCTAACAGCTGACTTGAACAACATATGGTCCGGTGCCGCTGAGCTGCAGCGCGGTCGCGCATTCACGTCAGTGATGGTGCGTTCAGTAGCGCAGCCTTACTTGGATTAGTAACGAATAATATAGCTGGAAATAGTAATCCGTTACATTACTCTTTACTGGGAAAAGTACTGTTACAGTACTGCCGAACAATGGGCAGCTGAACGCAAACAAACGTCCTTGCTGATACTTGGAAAGAAATAAAACTGTCCTCAAATCCTCTCCATTTCACTCGGCCAGCTCCTTTTAAATTATAGATATGCATGATTCACGTGGGTCATACTTTTAGGTCGGAAAATCCGGAATTCCGGATTAATCCGGAAAAATCACATCCCTGTGTAAGTAGATGTGTGCTTTGTTTATCCATACTCGCCTGTCTCCTAGTGTCACAGACAAGGCAATAAGTTGAGTAGCTTTTATCCTCTGAGGCAATACTGGACTGGAAAATATGTAGTCTACCTCACTAGAATGCTTAAAATAACAACGTTTTATTTGTTCACACATCAGTAAATCAGATTTAGGCTACAATTTTTCTTGGACCACCTCTGTGCATATATGCTTTAAACATTTTACTTTGTATTAAATTGTTGACGTGTAGAGGAAAGCGTTAGTTAAATAATAATGGTACATGAGTTGGTTGGAGCAGAAATATTTACGACAGTCTCTCGCTACGACAGCAAACCCAAATGTTTTACGGCAAGCATGAGGCAAGCTTGTTAGCCGGAAAAATAGCAGCTGAAGTTTACGTTCCCTGTTGTAGCCTTAGCTTGAAAAAACATTTTTACGTTTAGGGTTTTAACCTTGAGACATGGATGTTGGAGAGCTCCTGAGCTATCAGGTAACGTTAGATATTTTATTCTGTTTATCGATGTCTGGGAACTTGGCTAAACCATATCTCAATCATTGGATTGCATGCAATAGCACGGGTAACGTTAACGTTAGCAGTTACTGATGAACGCAAGCAGGCTTTAGTTTAGTCTCATTATTTACGGTCTGTTTACGTTCGTTAGTTAAGGTTAACCGCATTTGAATTGCATTAAGTCACCCTTGTGTTGCTCTACATGAATGGAGTCCTTGTTTATCAATAACGTTAGCTGTTAGCGTACCAGCTGAACAGGTTGTTGGCTATGTAGCTGCAGTGAATGAAGAATACGACACAAACTTATGGTTATAGTATCTTAAATTGCCTAAATAGTTTTACACAGAAAAACTCTATGGTCTTGATGCAGTGTTCCCTTATTGAGTTTATGTAGTCGTGTTTGCCATGTTCTGTCTACTCAGGTATATGGGAATCATTGTTATATTCCACATTTTAATGTGAAATACACTACGCACAACGCATTTCATTATTCATCTCTAATCAGTTCCTGTGCATGGAACGTTAGGCACATTATTTTATGCGAGCTACCCCATAGCCATTTCAAGACCTTACAATAAACTTTTATTTACATATATATATGTAATATATAGTATGTATTTACATATGTGTGTGTGTGTATAAATGTATATGTATGTATGTTAGTATATGCACACAGAAAAGTAAAACATGATCATGAGTGGGGGTGTGCCAATAAATCGATACAGCAATCATGATCATGATGTGTACATCATTACATTTCCTGTAATTTCACAGCCTGATAGAGGAGCAAAGCGTCCCAGGGTAGAAGATGGAGGTGCAGCGGGAGGAGAGGAGGACTCTAGAGGAGGGAAGCAACAGAAAGGACTGGGTGCCAGGGAGTTAGCCAGATACCGGGAAGCATCAGCAGGGGTGGGACTGGAAGGAAGTGAGATGAGGGAGACTGAAGATCTGACAATGGACAAAAAAAAGATCTTGGAGAAACTGATGGACCAGGATGAAGATGAACCCGAGGTAAGTGCAATTATTTATAGAATTATTACAGAATCGTTACTTTTATTAGTTTTTTTGTGTTTTTAACCTTTAATGGTCACATTGAACATGTTTTTACTTAAGGTAAATATAATCAAATCAATATTATTTAATTAAACACCGCATGTGTAGACAGGTGACCCTGCCCTTTCCACTCCTGCTCAAATGTTAACTAGCTCTAACCGCCTTCACTTTCCAGAAGTTGTGGAAATTTTTAATAACGGACACACTGTGACCTACATTGTACATTTACTGCCAGAATGACAAGTTATTACTTGCTCACTTTCAGCATCACTTTCTGCTGCTCGCTCTCTCTCATTCACTTGTCCACTCACTCGCAAACACATTGCACTGCAGTCAAAAGAAATGACTCCGCTGCTCTTATTACAGCACCTGTCTCGTAGATGTACTTTGATGAAGGAGGAGAAGAAGCTAGCAAAGTGTGATTTACCATGCTAACACAGTGTATGGGTGAAAATCATTTTGTGAGTGTGTTTACAGCAGTGGAGCAAAACACAACGTAGCTCTCCTTATTAGCAAGGCTCCTTACATGCTTGCTAATAATTTTATTTACTAACAGCGTTGTGTTGGACAGATTTGTACAGGTGTGTCATGAGGGAGAGAGCGAGAGAGAGGGACGAGCGAGAGGATGTGCTGTGCTACGGCACTCTGCAATCAAATACGATTAAAAAAAAAAAAAAAAAAAAGAAAATCAATATGTGGCAGTCAGCGTTGATATTGTGGCGGGCCGCACAAATAAATGAACGTATGGGCAACACTGTACTTTATCTACATGTTATGCCGCATTCAGACCAACCATGAATTTTTGCCTCGCGCCGCTTTCCTTGCATGAGTACATTCACTGCAAGTGTTCACACACAAGGCGAGAAGGCGATTTTAACATGATAAGGTGAATAAACACAACTCGCCATTACTACAACTGTATGAACCCAAAGTAAACATTTTGCTGTGATAAAATAGCAATAAACGGATTAAACTGATGCCGAAATGACTACAACATGATGCAGATTTGTTAAACATATGAATTCATGCTTTGTCAGGTCTGTCAGCAAAGTTTATTTTTATAGCACATTTCAACAACAAGGTAATTCAGAGTGCTTTACATAAAACATAAAAGCAACAGGGAAATATAAAAAGGTTTAAAAGCAACATAGGAAAATTGAGAAAATACACATTAAAAAAATAATAACAGTTACAGTGCAGTGTACAATCAGGGTTAAGAGTTAAATGGAAAATAAAAAACAGGCTTAGGGGTTGAGCAAATAATTGAGGTACAATTATTTTGAAAAGAGAATAAACGGAGAAGTACACTTAATCTGCTCTCTCTAGCTAGTAAACCAGGACATGTCTGTCCGCAGGCCACTTTGATCCAGTTATGCTCTGGACCCACCTGCGCATTTACAGGTGGACAGAGGTTCCTGCAAATCACTCAGGCGCGAGATTTAAGACAACTTCCTTCACTCTGTTCAATCTCACTCTCATTATCTTTTCACTCAATTACCTACTCATTTCTCACCGTGTAAATATTTAATTAAAAGCAATGGTAAAAAGCTAAAGACATAGAAAACAGGACAGTTAAAGTTACAGTACAGTGTAAGTTATCAATCTACTAGCAGGGCAACAACTTCTAAAATGTTTGTTTTCTGAATGGAGTTTGGATCGATCAGGGTTATGCTATGCTAACTTGGTCACAGTAAAGTACAATGATAGCTGGAATAAAGTTACAGACACACGTTTTCTGAACTCACCAGGTAGTTCAACCTCCTCGCTTTCTTTTCTCCAAGTAATGTCCAGTTTTTATATTAATATGAAGTCGTAGTCCGACAAAGCTAACGACACTAACAACAACACTGGTACCGGATGTGCACGGAAGCTAGCTGTTGAAGCTCCAGTGAAGATAAATCAACGTTGAAATCCCAAAAAAATCCCGGCCGGCAGATTTTCAATCCCCCGCTCTGCCTGGCCCTCTCCACACAACGCTCTGAAGCCTCGGTGACTTACGGACAATCTCAACGCTGATAGGCTATCGCGACTCAGAGTCATGCGACTTCTTCGCTTAAGTTGAAAATATTCAACTCACGCGAATTCCTTCGCGTTGCCTTCGCGTCACCGGCCCCGCCCCCTTCGGGTTGCTTTGCGCTGCCCGACAGGAAATCGCAGCTCTACGTGTCTTTGCATTGACTTTGTATGTAAACTCACTGCCCTGAACGGTCGTTTCGCTTTTGGTCTGAAAGCACCATTAGGGTTGCACAATATTGACAAGATGTGATATTGCGACATTGATTAGGAGGATTGTGATAACAATAGTAATTACAATATCCTTAAACATACTTAAAAACACAAATTTGATGAGCCCTGTTTCTGATGTTTCCTCCTCGATCACAGTAGTTTCATTGTCTCCATTAGCCACGCTCATGTTCTTACTTTTAAATTATTTTTATTAAATTATAAAAGTTTATTTCTCCATCTCTCTCTTCATTCACACACTGGAAGTATGCTTGCACGTCATGTGGTACGCTTCATAAGGTATGTTCGTGTAGTGTACCCCTGCCCTTATACTTGCATGTGACAGGGCAACTGGCCAATGAAACATTATTATTATACAGCAATTTCAATTAGGTTCTAAATTGAACATAACTAAGCTGCACAGCCAACCAATGCATCTCTTTACAAAATATTGCGTACTTTCCATGACATTTTAGATGATATTGGACAACGTGATATCAGAATCAGCTTTATTGCCAGGTATGTATGTGTACACATACAAGGAATTTGACTCAGGATTGTACATTGCTCACGATGTGCTTACTCATCCAAAAATACAAAATCACAATAATAAAACTAAAATACATAACAGACACAGACTTCAGTGTAGACAACACAAATATACACACTATGAATAAAAACAATATAGACATATTGACATATAGTGCAGTGAGCAGAGTGCAAAGGATGCAGGAGTATTTACATGTCAGAGGTGGATGTGATATACAGGTACACATACATGTACACAGTGCAATGAAGGATGCTGGAATATATAAGTATTTTGTGCAGGAGTAATGACTTGAGGTAGGTGGCAGTGTTTCCCCTAGGATGTTGTAGCAGCGGAGGTGAAGCAAAATTTTTGTCTGAATATAAAACCCCAACAAAACATGCTAAAAACTGTAGTGTTTTCCCAGTTTAATGTGAGCTTTAGATAAATGTTTTGGTGGTGGTCGGGGGGTTTGGGGGTTCTCCCCCAAGAAAATGTTATGTTTTCCAATGAAAAATATGTAATTTCACATCATATTGGGCCATTATTTTCACCATATCTCTGAACAAATAGTTGGAAAAGCTAGAGCAGATAATAAATAAACAACACCCAAAGATCGGTCTACTTTAGGAACTACAAACTTTAGATCTGGAGAAAGTAATTTGGTTGGTTCTGTTGCTCCACGGTGATTTTACAGTGATGGCACAGCATGTTTTGGGCATCACCCCTAAGCCTTAACAGCAGGAAAACCCTGTTAATATGACCTCAGAATCCTTATAGATACAACTGTTCATGTTTGCCTTTTGTGTCTTCATTTTACAGCTTCTGACATTTATCTGTAGACATTAATATAAAAAATAGGCAACATGAGAAACCTCCTCCCTTCTGAGGTGCATTTTATTTGCACATTAAAATCGAAAAAGAAACGTCTCCTCATTAGCTTAAAAGGACGAGTTTGCATTACTAATTAGCTTTACTAACCTCAGCTCCTCCAGTCTTCTTTTTCAAAACCACTTTTTCACACTGAAAACTGAAAAATAATTTAATCAGTCTGTACAGGACAGACCTGCAGGCTATGTCAGTTTAGTCTAAGTTTGTACCTGATGTTATCAACACTGGACAAGTAGGCAGTAATAAAATACAGCTTCCAGTTACTTTCTATAATTTCAGCTAATGTTAAGTTACAAAGCAGCTATGTAGCTGCTGTAGAAGCTTTCCTGCTCAGCTGTGAAGTCTGAAGGGGAGGGGAGATGTTAGGTAACTTAACGCTAACCGGCTTCACTTTTCCAGCAGGTGGGAAACAACAGACTTTTCTCTTATAACACCATCTGTCACGTATGTTCTGCATAGAATGAGGAGAGGAAGCGAGCCGAGCATTGAGTGCTGCTGTGCTCGCACAATGTGCGAGGGAAAACATGTGTAGCGCATAGTTTAATGATCGTGGGAAATTTTAGTAGTGGTTGATTGAAGTGTGAATGCATATAGAGGGAACACTGGGTGGATTTGGTATACAGTATCTACAATATCACAATATAACAGTATGAAAAGCACTGAAATAGAAAATGGAGAATAAATAATAAGTGTTAGCCAGTAAACATGTGGCTTTACTGTGGAGTTACTGGGTTATTGCACAAGAATTGTGAGTCAGAAATCAGCTGTTCATCAGAGTGATGGCTTGTGGGAAGAAACTGTTCCTGAGTCTGTTGGTTTTGGCGTACAGTGCTCTGTAGCGCCTACCAGAGGGGAGAAGCTGGAACAGGTTGTGTCCGGGGTGAGATGGATCTGCAGTGATGTTTCCTGCCCGTTTTCTGACTCTGGAAATGTATGTCCTGAATGGAGGGCAGGTTGGCACCGATGATCTTTTCTGCAGTCCTGACTGTCCGTTGTAGTCTGCTCCTGTCCTTTTTGGTGGCAGATCCAAACCAGACAGTGATGGACGTGCAGAGGACAGACTGGATGATAGCTATGTAAAAGTGCATCAGCAGCTCCTTAGGCAGGTTGAGCTTCCTGAGCTGGCGCAGGAAGTAAATGTAAATGTAAATGCTCCGTACTTGTATAGCGCCTTTCTAGTCTTTTCGACCACTCAAAGCGCTTTTACAGTACATCTGCATTCACCAGTCATACACATTCATACACTGAGCCTAAGTGCTCAAACGGAAACTAACATACACACACACTCATACACTGGCGGAACAGCCGCCAGGGGCAAATCGGGGTTCAGTATCTTGCCCAAGGACACTTCGACACGCAACCGCCGACCTTCCGATTAACGGCCAACCCGCTCTACCTCCTGAGCCACAGCCGCCCTGAAGTACATCCCCTGTTGGGCCTTCTTGATGATGGTGTCCGTGTTGGGCTCCCACTTCAATTCCTGGGAAATAGAGGATCCCAGAAACCTGAAGGATTCCACAGCAGACACAGGGCTGTTGAGTATGGTGATGGGGGGCAGAGTGGGGGGGCTCCTCCTGAAGTCCACGGTTATCTCCACAGTTTTGAGCGTGTTAAGCTCCAGGTTGTTCTGACCGCAGCAGAGAGCCAGCTAATCAACCTCCCGTCTGTAGGCCGACTCATCACTGTCCCGGATGAGGCCGATGACCGTTGTGTCATTAACGAACTTAAGGAGTTTGACAGATGGGTCTCCTGAGGTGCAGTCGTTGGTGTAGAGGGAGAAGAGCATATTGCGATAACGCTATTGAGTGGGGGTGTGCCAATAAATCGATACAGCAATATATCGTTGTACATTTTTCCTTGCTACTGTATCTATATTTCAGCCCATCTCATCGATACATAAAATTAATTAAAAAATAGTGCTTTGACAGTTGGCTCAATGCTAAACTTGCATTAACGTGCTAACTGACATAAGCATCGCAATCGTGAAAATATAATCTTAACATAAACTACACATTTTGCTTCACATGCTGAAAATCCTGAGTGACATACTGTGCAAGTACTTAAAGAACATACAGGTGCTGGTCATATAAGTAGAATATCATCAAAAAGTTGATTTATTTCAGTAATTCCATTCAAAAAGTGAAACTTGGATATTCTATTCATTCATTACACACAGACTGATATATTTCAAATGTTTATTTCATTTAATTGTGATGATTAAAACTGACAACTAATCCATCCATCCATCGTCAACTGCTTATCCTGTGTACAGGGTCGCGGGGCTGACAACTAATGAAAATCCCAAATTCACTATCTCCGAAAATTAGAATATTACTTAAAAAAATGGATTTTTAGAAATGTTGGCCAACTGAAAAGTATGAACATGAAAAGTATGAGCATGTATAGCACTCAGTACTTAGTTGGGGCTCCTTTTGCCTGAACTACTGCAGCAATGCGGCGTGGCATGGAGTCCATCAGTCTGTGGCACTGCTCAGGTGTTATGTGAGCCCAGGTTGCTCTGATAGTGGCCTTCAGCTCTTCTGCATTGTTGGGTCTGGCGTATCGCATCTTCCTCTTCACAATACCCCATAGATGTTCTGTAGGGTTAAGGTCAGGCGAGTTTGCTGGCCAATTAAGAACAGGGATACCATGGTCCTTAAACCAGGTACTGGTAGCTTTGGCACTGTGTGCAGGTGCCAAGTCCTGTTGGAAAATGAAATCTGCATCTCCATAAAGTTGGTCAGCAGCAGGAAGCATGAAGTGCTCTAAAACTTCCTGGTAGATGGCTGATGGATGTTGACCTTGGACCTCAGAAAACACAGTGGACCAACACCAGCAGATGACATGGCACCCCAAACCATCACTGACTGTGGAAACTTTACACTGGACTTCAAGCAACATGGATTCTGTGCCTCTCCTCTCTTCCTCCAGACTCAGGGACCTTGATTTCCAAAGGAAATGCAAAATGTACTTTCATCAGAGAACATAACTTTGGACCACTCAGCAGCAGCCCAGTCCTTTTTGTCTTTAGCCCAGGTGAGACGCTTCTGACGCTGTGTCTTGTTCAAGAGTGGCTTGACACAAGGAATGCGACAGCTGAAACCCATGTCTTGCATATGTCTGTGCGTGGTTGTTCTTGAAGCACTGACTCCAGCTGCAGTCCACTCTTTGTGAATCTCCCCCACATTTTTGAATGGGTTTTGTTTCACAATCCTCTCCAGGGTGCGGTTATCCCTATTGCTTGTACACTTTTTTTCTACCACATCTTTTCCTTCCCTTCGCCTCTCTATTAATGTGCTTGGACACGGAGCTCTGTGAACAGCCAGCCTCTTTAGCAATGACCTTTTGTGTCTTGTCCTCCTTGTGCAAGGTGTCAATGGTCGTCGTTTGGACAGCTGTCAAGTCAGCAGTCTTCCCCATGATTGTGTAGCCTACAGAACTAGACTGAGAGACCATTTAAAGGCCTTTGCCGGTCTTTTGAGTTAATTAGCTGATTAGAGTGTGGCACCAGGTGTCTTCAATATTGAACCTTTTCACAATATTCTAATTTTCTGAGATAGTGATTTTGGGGTTTTCATTAGTTGTCAGTTATAATCATCAAGGAATGAACACTTGAAATATATCAGTCTGTGTGGAATGAATGTATACATTATACAAGTTTCACTTTTTGAATGGAATTACTGAAATAAATCAACTTTTTGATGATATTCTAATTATATGACCAGCACCTGTATGTTTCCCGAGCTATGTGTGAAATAAAAAAGAGCTGCTAACTTCACTGTCTTGATCTGCTACTCTGCTGCTTCTACACGCCACACAGACCAGCTGTATTTACAGTAAAAATTGAGTAAATTCAGTGAATTTGCATTTTGTTTGCCTTTTTATAAAGAAATGTTTTTATAATAATTTTTCATAGTTGCTCTAAGTTCTGTAATTTTATTTACAGACTGAAAAAAGTGTGCTGGAGAATTGTGCTGTTTTCTAACAGTGGATTTGCAGCAAACAAATGGAGAACTTTTTCACAGGCATTTTGAATTAATAGTTAGATTGTCTAGCGATATCGATTATCGCAGAATAATATCGTGAGATTATCGTTATCAGGAGGGCCCCAATGGGGGAAGGGCCCTTGAAAATCCGGAAATGAAATGTTTTTTTTGTTTGCAATGTTTTATTTCTAAGCAAGTAGTTTCGTAATTAAGTTAAAATTGGCTGAATAAATCAGTTGAGAGACTGAACTTTGTATACCCCCCCCAAAAATCAAAGGCTTAGAGGCTTTGGGGCCTCTCTCACCCCTTCGTATAGACGCAAAATGCTTTAGTCCGCCCCGCACTAGAATTCTCTCTAAATGGTCTAATCGAGCAGAGTGACGACTGATGCTGGAGTGTCAACGTTCCTTGTGACATGTCTGTCCCCAGCAAAGGGATATCAAGGTACCAAAAAGAAAGAAAGCAAAGTGAGAGAAACTGCCAACTAATTGCTTTCAAAATAAAGTTGAACAGTTAAAGTTGAGTTGAGCAGTACAGTTAAAGAATGGTTTATGCATTTGTTAAAAATGTTTTGAATAAAAGGTTGCACCAAGAAATGTTAAGTAACAAATGAAAATGCTTTGAGATTTACTTACTTGCACAATAACAAAACGTAACACAATTGAAATATAGAAGAAACAAATGTGCATTGTCCAAAAAAGCAAGCTGCTGATTACTGCATTATATTCTGTTATATTTTTATATTAGTGAATTGTCACCTGCCAGCTGAATTTTTTTGTTTCCCTTTATATAAATAAAGACGGCGGCTGTGGCTCAGGAGATAGAGTGGGTTGGCCGTTAATCGTAAGGTCGGAGGTTCAATCCCGGCTCCCCCAAGCTGCATGTCGAAGTGTCCTTGGGCAAGATACTGAACCCTGAATTGAATGTGTGTGAATGGTGAATGCAGATGTAGTGTAAAAGCGCTTTGAGTGGTCGAAAAGACTAGAAAGGCGCTATACAAATACGGAGCATTTACATCTTGTTATTCATTGTTTAAATGTGGTAAGAACGGTTGATTAGTGACTACCCTAATCAGCACTACAGTTTGTGTGTGCAGTTGTTAGCTCAATTATTTGTCAACTTTTTTCAAAAGATGCGTGACAGACAGGGACCAAGAGAGGAAAGGGGCCCCACAGAGACTGCTTGTATATACATATATATAGAGCCCAGATTGTCACTGAATTGTGCTACGCCCCTGATTGTACACCTCTACTACATATACAGTTGTTTTTACATTTTTGAGAGTCTGTTTGTAGGTGTACAGTACATAATGAAGAGGTGCTGTTTAGGTGTGTGTGGATACACCATTGTTCTCACAAAAATGCAAATGAAAGACAAATTCCAAGTGATCAATATTTGAATCTGTGACAAAAATTTAATACATATCAGCTATGCAGTTTGAATGTAATTAAAGACAATGTGATCACAACCCAAGTTTAAATGTAGAATGGATTATTTAGGCCTGAACCTAAGTTAGTCATCTGTGTTCACTGATTGCAAGTTGAGTCCAGACCTGAAGTACCACAACACTAGCACAGTACCATGGATGTAGAAAGGAAACCCATGAGAAATGTCTGGACCAGGGCCCGGTTTTACAAAGATAATGGTGGTTACATAGAATAAGGTAACTTAGTCAGTCTTTTTTTGTGAAACAGTCTAATTTGCATTAGACTAGTCTATGAGCATATTTTAGACTAGTCTAACACTATAGACCAGCCTAAAATAGCTTTGGGATACCGGCCCCTGGAAAGTTTGACTGTCTTCAGAAAAAAAGAACCCGGTGTCAGTAGTAATGTTGCTATAAATGCAGTGCATTAGAAAACTACACGTCTATTATCCTGTTCTTTTTATCTGACACTGCAGCCATTTCAAGTATTCACTGTGTCAAGAGCTACTCAGAGCAAAGTGCTGCACTGTTCCATAATGTCAGAAAATTGTAATTTCCTAACCTGTTATTATCCGTCCGACACTTTATAGGCTTTTAAGCCTGCAGGAGGTCAAACACATTCCCTTTCCAGTGAAATGCACTCACATCCCCTCTGATTGTATAAAACTTCTAGCTACTCCACTCACATAATTACGGTGACCCTGATGTCTCTTTGTTCAAATGTAAGTCGCTTTGGATAAAAGCGTCTGCCAAATGAGTAAATGTAAATGTTATTGCTACAGTTGCATCAATAAAAGGCTTTTTTCCCCCTCCCCTTTATAATGTTTTCCTCCTTTCTACTTCCATTTGCTACTAATCAAACAGGCAGAGCCAGTGGATGAGAGTTCAGTGAAGAAAATGATCCTGACCTTTGAGAAAAGGTCGTACAAAAATCAGGAACTGAGGATTAAGTTTCCGGACAACCCAGAGAAGTAAGCCTGTTACTGACTGTGTTTTGCTCACTTTGTTATATATGATGATTTAATTAAAACAAATTTTAAGAACTGACATAGTGTATGCGAATTAAGCCAAATTTCAGATGGACTTCTCAAATGCTTAACCCATTTTTTGGTATATTTATATTGTGTGTCCACTATCACCAAAATGAAATAAAAGGCAGCAGTACTGACAGGATATCTGACTGAATTCCTGTACTGCACTTTGAGATTAATGTTAACATAGTAGGCTAACATGCTAACCAAAATGTCTTGCTACTTTTAAACTAGGTTCATGGAGTCTGAGTTGGATCTGAACGACATTATCCAGGAAATGCATGTGATTGCCACAATGCCAGATCTCTACCACCTGCTGGTGGAGCTTAATGCTGTCCACTCACTGCTGGGCCTCCTCAGTCATGAAAACACTGATATCCTTTCATGTATAGATTGATTCAGACTGTTTGTCCTATTTAATCCATTCATCCTGTATATAGAATTTAACATTGGTCTTTAAACGATAATTCTGGTGATGTTCTTTTTTTTTTTTCTACTGTCAAGAAATCCTTTGAAATGACTAAAACCAACAATGTATTATCAGTTGCTAAAAACAGGGAACAGAGGAAAATTTAAATAAATGCATAAAACCAAAAAACAACAAAACTATAAGCAATCACTATTAAAACTTAAAACAATGAGGACACCTGAGCTCCCAACAATTCACTGCTGCATTTGTAGTACTAGCACTACTGCATTTGTAAGAAAACTAAAAAGAAAAAAAAAGTCCTCACGTGATGTCACTTGAGTCAGCGTTGGTGGGGCTGAAGACTACAAGTTCTAAAATACAAAAGGTCTGGGGGTGTGGCGTTATGGTGTGTTCACATACGATGCGAATTTAATCGCTTTACGGCTTTTATAACTGGACAACGGCCAACTGTTCATACACAATGCTATAAGCGAATAAACACAACCCACGATTACTACAGCTGAATGAATCCAAAGTAGTGTGATTTAATTGCAATTAACAGATCAAAGTGATGCCGAAATAACTACAATATGATGCTGATTATTTAGACATGAATTAGTGATGTGCGATACTACTTAATCCCTATCCGATCCAATACCAAGTAATACCCACGCTGGTATTGCCTATACCAATACATATTTTATTTCTAGTTTAATGTGACCTCCCTCTTCCGTTTCTGTATTTATGAGAGAAATAAGGAGTAGGCTATAGCCTTACCAATTCAAAATAATAGCTGCATAATGAGAAGACATCAAACTACTGTCATATTCTTTAATTGTAATGTAAATATCCTGCTCAGCACTGCCGCTTCATAACATCATCCTATTATTTTGACTTAATCTCAGATGTTTAGCGAAGTTTGCAGTGTTTCAAAGTAGCTCATTTCACTGTCTTTGCACACAAAGCGTCATTATTACCTTCACAGCTAAAATACAGCCAGACTTGACTGCTTTTACAGTTTGTCATAGTCATTATTCAATCGCGGGAAATGTAAAGGGCTGCAGCGGCTCACTTCAAAGAAGCTTTGTCACAGAGCCTTAGCTCAAGCATGACTTTGACAGGCGGAAGGAAAAGTAGTTCCTATCAACCGACTATAATTAGACCATCCTGGTGACAGTAAGATACTTATGATAAAACACACACTCACTCCAAATGACTGAGTTTAGATATCGATCCTTTTATATGAGTATCAATCCTAGAGCAGGAAACGTTGGTATCAGAAATATCGATACTTTAGGATCGATCCGCACATCACTAATATGAATTCTTGCTTTGTCAGGTCTGTCAGCATTTTTGAGTGGCCTTTTATTGTGGCCAGCCTAAGGCCCACCTGTGCAATACCCATGCTGTCGGATCAGAATCTTGATATGCCACATCTGTGAGGTGGATGGATTATCTCGGCAAAGGAGAAGTGCTCACTAACACAGATTTTGACAGATTTGTGAACAATATTTGAGAGAAATAAGCCTTGTGTACATAGAGAAAGTTTTCAGTCTTTGAGTACAGCTCATGATGAATCGTTTATATTTTGTTCAGTGTATTTTAAAAGTGCTTAAGTGCTTTTTAAAAATGTTATTTAAAAAAAGAATAAATTCAGAACAGTAATAAAATTTAATATTTTATTATAAGTGTTTTCAGGGCAGCAGCAAAAGTAAAGTTTACAGCAGCAAAGTCACTATATAAAATCTATATCTCACTGGAAACAAATGGAACATGTAAAATAAAACAAAATATATCCCTGACATCACAATACTGAGTAAAGATTAAAAAGAAGACATCAGTCCATGGCACCCCTCCCGTTCTCCTCCCTCTGCTGCTGTTAGGAGCTGGTTTGTCTCAACAAGCAGCTGAGTTTGCAAGGATTTGGTTCGTAGCATCAAAATTAAACAGGCTACAGACAGAGAGGCAGCTTGATGGCTTGCGCGTTCTATTGGCTACTTCCACACTATATTCAGTGTTAATGGCTATTACTCGTGGACATTGCTCGAGCCCACAGAGTGCTGAGTACAGACTGTAGAGACAGACAGAAGTGGCTTCATCGGAGCCAAAGGAGTAAATTTTTTTTTATTAATTAATTATATCGGCAATCTGTTTTTAAAATAACCAATGCAGATTATTGGAAAAATGCTGACCACGGCCACAATAATCGACCAGGCCGATTATTGGTCAACCCCTACTCTCCAAACAACACTCTGAAGCCGTTGGTGACATCCGGACAATCTCACCACTGATAGGCTTTCGCAACAATAGCATCATGTGAATTTCTCGGTCAAGTTGAAAAATTTGAACTGGAGCGAAGCAGCAGATCCACCTTCCGCACCACCTGGAGCGAATACTCATGAATTTGCATCTATACACTGGCTTTGTATGTAATCAACGCTGGATTCGCTTTCAGTGTGATCACACCATTAGAAAGAAGTGAGCTTACCAGACTTTTGTAGCCTGCTCCTCATCTCAGCTCAAGGCTAGATGCTCCAGGCTATATTAGCCACTGTAGCATAAAACACTCAGATCCGACAGATCTGTTGGTTTGTGGTCGACTTACATTGGTGGGTAATGTAGGTGGCATGTTTTCACAAATAAGAAGAATGCTGCATCAATTTTGATCCTAAACGGCGCTCCGTGAGTCTGACTGTGTTATAGGAGTGCAGTGCTAAAATGGATTGAATACTCTTTTAACATAAGCGCATTGTCCTTAGCCTGAGCCACATGTCGCCATAGCAGTGGTGGACCTGCTGCAGGAGCTGACGGATATCGATACACTCCACGAGAGCGAGGAGGGTGCTGAGATACTCATAGATGCTCTGGTGAGTTCTGGATTTACATCAGTCTTTGATGATACACTGCGTGTACAATTATTAGGCAAGTATTCTGTATGAATAATTACGTCTACGCACATTTTCCAACTCCAAACCATATAAACTGGAATGTTCATTGGAGTTAATCATTTTCAGGCAATTGGTGTAATGAGGGGGGGTGTGGCGAAAGTGAATGACACCTCATATCAAGGTGTGCATGATTATTATGCAGCTTCATTACTTCAGGTAAAATAGGCCAAAAAGAGAGATTTAACTGACAATGAAAAGTCGAAAAATGACGTTCAGACGGATGCCACACTCTTGAAATAGCCTAGATAGGTGCCTGCGAGGTGGAGGAGGGGTAATATTATGGGCTACAATCATTAAGGATGAGACAGTTTGACCTTTTCGGGTTAAAGATAAACTAAAACTCAACTCCCAAAGCTGTTGCCAGTTTCTGGAAGGTACTTTCTTCAAGCAGTGGTACAGGAAGAAGCCCTCAGTTTTCAAGAAGCCCGTAATTTTATAACTTTATGCAGGACAATGATCCATTACGTGTACCTTACTTTAATGCTTGGAGAGGCTGCTGTCAGTGCATCCAGTGTCAGGAGATTTAAAATATCAGTGAAGTAACATTGCTGTGCCTCCTGCGTCAAATGCGCACAGTGTCTCTCTTAATGGGAAGCATCTTACTATCTGAATAAGGAGCCCTTTCAATAGCCTAGGGATAATACTGCGCCATTGACTTTAGACCAGGTTTTTGCTGGTCAGTGGCACAATTGCTTTGTGCTTCCTCATGATGCAATTTGCCAACAGTGCTCCTGACCACACCTCATTTTAAGACCAACACCCCCATGGGAGGACAGATTGGGGGCAAGTCCATTTGTTACTTACACAACATGGGTGCTAGGTGTGAAAATGACAACTGCGTCGATTGGAAAGTTGCAATAACACTTGCGTCGTGCTGTGCGCCGCTGTGCGCCAGGTGTAAGATAGGTTTTTGTTTGTTTTGTTTCTCTGTACATTTAGCCCCTGTTTTTTTTTGTTGTTGAACCTTGTGCTGTCTAGGAACCAGGGATGATTTTTTTATACCCTATTATGTGTGCTGACATTGGCATACTGGCAAATAATGTGCTGGTATACCTTTTTGTAAAGGAAAGACGTGTACACTCCTGCTCCTTCATGGCCATTACTATGAGTAATCAAATGTAATGACTTGAATGTGCCAAGTTCTTTCCCCACACTACATCCCATTGGCATTCATCAGGGATATTGGTAGTTGTTTCTCACTACAATTAATGTTTTGTCTGATGTCTCAGTCCTGGCTGCATATTTTTCTCTTTGATTCAGTATTGCTTTGAAAAAGATATTACAGTGATATACAGTATCTCGCAAAATGAGTACACCCTTCACATTTTTGTAAATATTTGAATATATGGTGTGTATCTTTTATCTCATGTGACAACACTGAAGAAATGACACTTTGCTACAATGTAAAGTAGTGAGTGTAGCTTGTATAACAGTGTAAATTTGCTGTCCCCTCAAAATAACACATCACACAGCCATTAGTGTCTAAACCATTGGCAACAAAAGCGAGCACACCCCTAAGTGAAAATGTCCAAATTGGGCCCAAAGTGTCAATATTTTGTGTGGCTACCATTGTTTTCCAGCACTGCCTTAACCCTCTTGAGCATGGAGTTCACCACAGCTTCACAGGTTGCCACAGGAGTCCTCTTCCACTCCTCCATGACGACATCACGGAGCTGGTGGATGTTAGAGACCTTGCTCTCCTCCACCTTCTGTTTGAGGATGCCCCACAGATGCTCAATAAGGTTTAGGTCTGGAGACATGCTTGGCCAGTCCATCACCTTTACCCTCAGCTTCTTTTCCTTAGTCTGCTTGTCTTCAGCAAACTGTTTGCAGGCTTTCTTGTGCATCATCTTTAGAAGAGGTTTCCTTCTGGGACGACATCCATGCAGACCAATTAGATGCAGTGTGCGGCGTATGGTCTGAGCACTGAGAGACTGAACCCCCAACCTCTGGCAGCACTCACACGTCTATCTCCCAAAGACAACCTCTGGATATGATGCTGAGCATGTGCACTCAACTTCTTTTGTCGAACATGGCGAGGCGTGTTCTGAGTGGAACCTGTCCTGTAGAACCGCTCTATGGTCTTGGCCACCATGCTGCAGATCAGTTTCAGGGTTTTGGCAATCTTCTTATAGCCTAGGCCAATCTTATGTAGAGCAACAATTCTTTATTTTAGATCCTCAGAGTTCTTTGCCATGAGGTGCCACATCCACACCATCTGTGGCCGACTTCTTAGAAAAGGCAACAAATGGTCCAACCTGCTTTGAGTGTTTCTGTCACTCATTTATGAGAATGCGATTAAGTGAGCCACACCTACATTTGGAGTGCACAAGTATTCAAGCCTTTAGGTAACTGAAACCGACCAGTGTGAGCTGACCAGAGCTGACAGGCAGGTTCACAACTTTATCCTGTCATTTTCACTCTTTACAAAGACCTACCTGAAGAGAGGCTATGAAGTCTTCATGTTACGCGAGACGAGAACCACATACAACATTATTTATCAAAGTGGGTCGGACTTGCAGCACGGTGGTGCAGTGGTTAGCACTGTTCCCTCACAGCAAGAAGGTTGTGGGTTTGAACCTTGGTCGTTCCAGGCCTTTCTGTGTGGAGTGTCCTTAGGTGTGAATGTGAGTGGTTGTTTGTCTATGTGTGGCCCTTCGCTCGATGTCAGCTGGGATTGGCTCCAGCCCCCCGTGATCCTGAACGCAGGATTGTTGATTGATGGCAGTCTCTCCAAATCCTGCGGGGAAACACTGAGTAAAAAGTATATCTTGACTATTTAATTTATGCAATGGTAAAAAAAGGCTAAATTAATGGGAAAAATGTCAATGTACTTGTTGGGTGTTCGGTATTCGGCAAATCTTTTTATTATATTCGGTTTTATCTTCGGCCAAGAATTTTCATTTCGGTGCATCCCTACCTGCTGCCCATTCACACCTGAGACCTTGTAACACTAACGAGTCACATGACAACAGGGAGGGAAAATGGCTAATTGCGCCCAATTTATACATTATTCACTTAGGGGTGTACTCACTTTTGTTGCCAGTGGTTTAGACACTAATGGCTGTGTAAAGTGTTATTTTGAGGGGACAGCAAATTTACACTGTTATACAAGCTGTACACTCACTACTTTACATTGTAGTTTAGTGTCATTTCTTCAGTGTTGTCACATGAAAAAATATAATCAAATATTTAGAAAAATATGAGATGTGTACTTACTTTTGTGAGATACTGTATAGGAAATTACAATATTATGGCTGATGTGTTATGGGAAACATTGTTTAACCAATAACCACTAGTTGGTGAGCCTAACGTTTTTGAAACTGAGAAAATTTCAACCTTCTAGAGGTGCACCCATAACCTGGATTGACCCTCACAGAAAATAAGAGACATAGTGTAATGTTTGTGTATGCAGATTGTTTAACCTACATGTTCATGCAAAAATGCATTTCATGCATGTAATTAGTACAGTAGAGCATCTGACTTTGCAATAGCAATACAGTTAAATAATTAATTTCCTTTTCCATGTTAGCATAATATGTTTTGGTAGAAATAATGCAATATAAGATTCTAATAAAAAGGTGGAAATAGTTTTTTTTCTTTGACTTGTTATTTATTCACCCATCTAGTGTATAGAATTGTATCATTTTTGTACATAACATTGCGTTTTATGAATAGCATAAAGGGAACTACAAACTTCATCTCATTATACAACCCTTTGTACTGTTGTAAAATGACAAAAAAAAAAAACACACATTTACATTGTAGCCTTGAATAATGTCTTAAAAACATTTCTCTCTGATGCATTTTGAAGTTTTTTTTTGCTATCTGCTAGTTAGTATCTGACAGGAACAATTGTAGAGACAATTGCACTCTTCAAGTGTGTTTGTGAATTGGCTTGGTATGTGATAGTGGGCGAGACAGTAGCTCAGGTGGCTTTGCAACGCTCTCAGGATAAAGGCATTATAGAAATGCAGTCCATTTACTATGAAATGGAGCGCACACAAACCACAGTCTTTTTTTTAAAGCTACTTCCAAAGGAAACTGTTTCAGGGCAGCAAGGGTTGGTTGAATCCATTTGTCTCTCCTCTTTGCTGTATTGCTTCCAGCTCCTTTGTCCTTGATGCCAGAAGGCCAGGTGGTATCCTTGATAAGATGAATCAAAATTATCCACAATGGTCTCTTGTGGCTCATAAATCTGTGTCGACTGTCTGTCTTCCTTCGTCTGTAATAATACTTTTATCCAGCCAGTCTGCACTGCACAAGCTCTGTTTGATTATGAGCTTCTATTCTTGACTTGACTGAATACTTGGACATGTTCATAGAAGCTCAGACAGAAACCAAGTTTCCTCTGCTAAGGCTGATGCTTTGTTGAGTGCAAAACTTTGCAGTTCATGTCTGAAACTCTGTAGTTAAATTTAAAGAGTAATACAACCTGTCTTAGTTGCCCACTGATCAATAAACTCTGATAAAATGGATATTGTGGGAGGGGAAAACTCACAGGTTTTATAGCACCTATGTAGTGGAATGAAAGGTTTTATCCCTGATGAACTTGTATTTGCCAAGTGGAAAAATGTGTCAGAATCCTCCTGACTTGGACTTTATGTTGATCTTTGTGTGTCTGTAGTTGGAGGGTCAGGTGGTGGCCTTGCTGGTGCAGAATATGGAGCGGCTTGATGAACAGGTGAAAGAGGAGGCTGATGGCACCTATAACACGCTGGGTAAGGAGATGTACCACCAAGGCCCTAACAATGATGCTTCAGTCACTGTTTGAGAGCCCGACTTGTTGTTTTGCAGATATTATCAGCCGATATTAGTCTATCAGAATACGCTACCCCTGAAATGTTATAATATAATCAAAAAACAGAATATGTCATAATACTGTGAGAGATATACCTTTATGGGAAAGGGAACAAATAAGGTAGCATTTTTCAATAGGGCAGAGCGACTTGATAGTCTCTGCTGTCGATTTGCGCTACGGTAGCATTTTCCAAGCTGCGGTGAGTAGCTCCTGTTAGCTCTCACAGTCAGTGTTCCCGGCGAGTTGGTCTTTTGTCACGTCAACTACATGACTTAATTAATAATAAAAATAGCCCTCATCACATTTCCTATTCTGAGACCAGACATGATAACACTCCTGTTTTTAACTGCCCTCTCCATGCTCACAGGAGTGTGCTTAATGTTACGGAGGAGGCTACGCTGCTGACAGACATGATTGTAGATTTATTTTTGTAACAGTTAGGCAGTTCAAGTGACTGGTCCTCTCATTACTCTCTAATTTATTACTTCTAAATATTTTCTAACATCGCCAACAGCAGATAATACTGCCCGTTGCTAAATTAGCCACAAAGCTAATGCCGTGTTTATCTGCAGAGGAGCGCTAACATTAAAGAGCGATTAAACTAAGTTAGTGTCTCTCTAGTTACTGTCGGCGTGTCATAAATGATTAAATCTGAGCTGAACAAGTATCTAACACACAGTTGCAGGTCCTTGTTGTAGACAATCATGTAGTAATAGATTAATTCAAGGGCAGTGTTTCCTCACTTTATCATAGAGCCAGAAGGTGGTTAGGAAATCGTTTCTGTAGCATTGGATAAGATTAACAGAGTGCAGGTGATAAAGATAATGTAAGGTAATACAGGTGCTGGTCATATAAATAGAATATCATCAAAAAGTTGATTTATTTCAGTAATTCCATTCAAAAAGTGAAACTTGGATATTATATTCATTCATTACACACAGACTGATATATTTCAAATGTTTATTTCATTTAATTGTGAAAACTGATAACTAATTAAAATTCCAAACTCAGTATCTCCGTAAATTAGAATATTACTTAAGACCAATACAAAAAAGGATTTTCAGAAATGTTGGCTTTTGCCTGAATTACTAGAGCAATGCGGCGTGGCATGGAGTCCATCAGTCTGTGGCACTGCTCAGGTGTTATGTGAGCCCAGGTTGCTCTGATAGTGGCCTTCAGCTCTTCTGCATTGTTGGGTCTGGCGTATCGCATCTTCCTCTTCACAGTACCCCATAGATGTTCTGTAGGGTTAAGGTCAGGCGAGTTTGCCGGCCAATTAAGAACAGGGATACCATGGTCCTTAAACCAGGTACTGGTAGCTTTGGCACTGTGTGCAGGTGCCAAGTCCTGTTGGAAAATGAAATCTGCATCTCCATAAAGTTGGTCAGCAGCAGGAAGCATGAAGTGCTCTAAAACTTCCTGGTAGATGGCTGATGGATGTTGACCTTGGACCTCAGAAAACACAGTGGACCAACACCAGCAGATGACATGGCACCCCAAACCATCACTGACTGTGGAAACTTTACACCGGACTTCAAGCAACGTGGATTCTGTGCCTCTCCTCTCTTCCTCCAGACTCTGGGACCTTGATTTCCAAAGGAAATGCAAATTTACTTTCATCAGAGAACATAACTTTGGACCACTCAGCAGCAGCCCAGTCCTTTTTGTCTTTAGCCCAGGTGAGACGCTTCTGACGCTATGTCTTTTTCAAGAGTGACTTGACACAAGGAATGCGACAGCTGAAACGCCTTGTCTTGCATACATCTGTGCGTGGTTGTTCTTGAAGCACTGACTCCAGCTGCAGTCCACTCTTTGTGAATCTCCCCCACATTTTTGAATGGGTTTTGTTTCACAATCCTCTCCAGGGTGCGGTTATCCCTATTGCTTGTACACTTTTTTCTACCACATCTTTTCCTTCCCTTCGCCTCTCTATTAATGTGCTTGGACACGGAGCTCTGTGAACAGCCAGTCTCTTTAGCAATGACCTTTTGTGTCTTGCCCTCCTTGTGCAAGGTGTCAATGGTCGTCGTTTGGACAGCTGTCAAGTCAGCAGTCTTCCCCATGATTGTGTAGCCTACAGAACTAGACTGAGAGACCATTTAAAGGCCTTTGCCGGTCTTTTGAGTTAATTAGCTGATTAGAGTGTGGCACCAGGTGTCTTCAATATTGAACCTTTTCACAATATTCTAATTTTCTGAGATAGTGATTTTGGGGTTTTCATTAGTTGTCAGTTATAATCATCAAAATTAAAAGGAATGAACACTTGAAATATATCAGTCTGTGTGGAATGAATGTATACATTATACAAGTTTCACTCTTTGAATGGAATTACTGAAATAAATCAACTTTTTGATGATATTATAATTATATGACCAGCACCTGTAACTACTGCATAACAAAAAATATATATAAGTATGCAAAGCCTATGTAGAAGAGCCCAGTTTATCATTATTATGAAAGCAATGACATGAGAGATGATATGGTGTTATTTTTAGTAGTAGTACTATATTGGTATTTCTTATAGTTTCTGTTTTGCTGGCCCCCACAAAACATAAACTATTTAATGTTTATTAGTAGTAGTACTCTATAATTTATAATAAATCATATATTAAAAAAAAACAAATCTGTAGTTTTATACTCTCTTTAGACTCTTATTTATTAAAACTTTAATTTTGTTATTTTTTGTTCAAAGTACTATTTTTAACCAGAGAAGTTCATTTTTAAACTTTTATGTCATTGGTATCTTGGTGTGGTCTCAACATAACAAAGGTTAGGGATAATCTTTGTTTATGTTATTTGTTTCTTAAAATAAGGGGGAAAAGAATATCGGCTGATATGTCGGCTATTGGATTTTAAAATTCTTAAATATTGAAATCGGTATCGGACTTTAAAATCTCACACCGGTCGGGCTCTGCACTGTTTATCTTAAAGCAGTGGTTTTTAACCTGGGGTCCTGACCGGGTCCCAGCGGGGCTTTGAGAATGCTGCTATAGACACAAAAATAGACTGGGGGGGACTGCCAAAAGGTAAAGAACCCCTGTCCTAAAGCAAATTGTCTACATAAACAAAAACTGTTGGGTATCCCCCAAAACTCATTGTCATATAATGAATTTATAACATAACAATAATAAGAACAACTCCATATTCCAGTTTCATATTTTACTTACCAACTGGTGTGACTTCCTTAATTAATTGCATTTTTAGTTACAATATTGTACAAATAAAGCTTTGGGTGTGTTATCACAGGCTATCTTTAGAAATTTGTTTTTGCATCAACTTTCAAGGCTTCTTTTGCTTTTGCTTCTTTTGCTGTAGAATAACCAACAAAGGCAAAACTTAGAAATAATAGTAAGTAGTAAATTTTCAGATATACACTGCTCAAAAAAATAAAGGGAACACTTAAACAACACAATGTAACTCCAAGTCAGTCACACTCCTGTGAAATCAAACTGTCCACTTAGGAAGCAACACTGATTGACAATCAATTTCACATGCTGTTGTGCAAATGGAATAGACAACAGGTGGAAATTATTGGCAATTAGCAAGACACCCCCAATAAAGGAGTGGTTCTGCAGGTGGTGACCACAGACCACTTCTCAGTTCCTATGCTTCCTGGCTGATGTTTTTGTCACTTTTGAATGCTGGCGGTGCTTTCACTCTAGTGGTAGCATGAGACTACAACCCACACAAGTGGCTCAGGTAGTGCAGCTCATCCAGGATGGCACATCAATACGAGCTGTGGCAAGAAGGTTTACTGTGTCTGTCAGCGTAGTGTCCAGAGCATGGAGGCGCTACCAGGAGACAGGCCAGTACATCAGGAGACGTGGAGGAGGCCGTAGGAGGGCAACAACCCAGCAGCAGGACCGCTACCTCCGCCTTTGTGCAAGGAGGAGCAGGAGGAGCACTGCCAGAGCCCTGCAAAATGACCTCCAGCAGGCCACAAATGTGCATGTGTCTGCTCAAACGGTCAGAAACAGACTCCATGAGGGTGGTATGAGGGCCCTCCATGTGCTCACCAGAGGTACCGAGATGAGATTCCCAGACCCCTTGTGAGACCATATGCTGGTGCGGTTGGCCCTGGGTTCCTCCGAATGCAAGACAATGCTAGACCTCATGTGGCTGGAGTGTGTCAGCAGTTCCTGCAAGAGGAAGGCATTGATGCTATGGACCGGCCCGCCTGTTCCCCAGACCTGAATCCAATTGAGCACATCTGGGACATCATGTCTCGCTCCACCAACGTTGCACCACAGACTGTCCAGGAGTTGGCGGATGCTTTAGTCCAGGTCTGGGAGGAGATCCCTCAGGAGACCATCTGCCACCTCATCAGGAGCACGCCCAGGCGTTGTAGGGAGGTCATACAGGCACGTGGAGGCAACACACACCACTGAGCCTAATTTTGACTTTTTTTAAGGACATTACATCAAAGTTGGATCGGCCTGTAGTGTGGTTTTCCACTTTGATTTTGTGACTCCAAATCCAGACCTCCATGGGTTGATGATTTTTGTGTGATTTTGTTATCAGCACATTCAACTATGTAAAGAAAGGAGTATTTAATGAGATTATTTCATTCATTCAGATCTAGGATGTGTTATTTTAGTGTTCCCTTTATTTTTTTGAGCAGTGTACAATTTTCAGGGTTCAAGTAATGAGTTAACAACTTCAACTTATTCTGCCGCATTGAATCCAGCTATCCAGGCTGTTATTTGTCGGTTCACGAAAAGTGACAATGACAAGCACATTGAATTTATGAAAAGTACAGTGTTCAAACATTTAGGATGTTTTGCACTGAATCCTAGACCAGTTAAACTGGCCAACAAAGCAGGTGCCAAGAATGAAAGAACTGTTTCTCTTTCAGAGACTGTTGCAGTCCTGTTGTTCAGTAGTGGGGACCCAAGTAACATTCAAAGCAGTATCTCAGTGTTTCTTTATACAGCACCATGTCATATTTTATTCATTTTCTAGATAATATTTCACCTGTTTCTTATTCATTGCATGGTTGAATTTGAAGTATGAAGTTAGACAATTTTTTGCTGTTGGAGTTTTTGTGACATTTCTTGGTGGATTTTTTTTGTTGGTCATCTAACAACAAGAGCAATAATACACATAAACAATAGTAACAACAGTCGTCATGGTTGTTAGAACCACCCGTGGCCGAGTCTGAACGACCATCGTTGGTATCTTCACCTGAGGCCAGAACCCAAGAACACGCTAAGACAGATATCGGTACACCCCAAAGACCGCACACCCAAACACAAGAAAAGCAATCTAGTGTATGCGATCCAGTGCAGTGAGGAATGCACAGACCTGTACATTGGGGAAACTAAACAACCACTAAACAAATGCATGGCTCAACACAGAAGGGTTATTTCCTCAGGTCAAGTCTCTGCAGTTTACTTACATATGAAGGATAAAGGACACTCGTTTGAGGATCACCAGGTGCACATTTTAGACAGAGAGGATGGATGGTTTGACAGAGGTGTCAAGAAAGCCATCTACACCCGGGTTGAGAAGCCGTCGCTGAACAGAGGAGGGGTTCTACGCCACCACTTATCCCCCACTTACAATGCGACCCTTTCATCACTTCCCAGGATTTCCTCTTGGCCTCAGGTGAAGACAATCCTAGCTAACGATCCCAGAGGTTAAATGATGATGAAATTCATAATTTTCCATAACATACCCCATAACATTACCTCATAACAATGTGAAAAAAGTTTGTTTGAAATCTTTGCAAATTTATTAAAAATAAAAGTAGAGAAAGCACATGTACATAAGTATTCACAGCCTTTGCTCAATACTTTGTTAAAGCACCTTTGGCACCAATTACAGCCTCAAGTCTTTTTGATTATGATGCTACAAGATTGGCACACCTATTTTCAGGCAGTTTCTCCCATTCTCCTTTGCAGGAAGTCTCAAACTACATCAGGTTGGATGGGAAACGTCAGTGTACAGCCATTTTCAGATCTCTCCAGAGATGTTTAATTGGGTTTAAGTCTGGGCTCTGGCTAGGCCACTCAAAGACATTCACGGCTTCCGTCTGGCCACTCTACCATACAGGCCTGATTGGTGGAGTGCTGCAGAGATGTTGTTCTTCTGGAAGGTCCTGCTCTCTCACCAGAGACACGCTGGAGCTCTGTCAGAGGGACCATCGGGTTCTTGGTCAACTCCCTGACTAAGTCCCCTATCCCCAAATTACTCAGTTTGGCTGGGCAGCCAGCTCTAGTAAGAGTCCTGGTGGTTCTAAACCTTTTCCATTTAGGGATGATGGAAGCCACTGTGCTCATTAGGACCCTCAATGCTGCAGAATTTTTTCCTGTACCCTTCCCCAGATCTTTGCCTCGATACAATTCTGTCTCTGAGGTCTACAGACAATTCTTGGGACTTGATGGCTCAGTTTGTGCTCTGACATGCACTGTTAACTGTGGGACCTTTATATAGACAGATGTGTCCCCTCCAAATCATGTCCAATTAATTGAATTTACCACAGGTGGACTCAGGATGCACCTGAGCTCAATTTTAAGTGTCATGGCAAAGGCTGTGAATACGTATGTTTTTTTTTTTGTTTGTTTTTTTTATTGTTAATAAATTTGCAAAAGATTTCAAACAAACTTCTTTCGCATTGTCGTTATGGGATTGTTTGTAGAATTTTGAGGATAATAATGAATTTCCTCCATTTTGGAATAAGGCGCTGTGAATACTTTCTGGATGCACTGTGATATGGTGGTGTTTATATCTGACAGATATATTAAAGGGAATGAAAATGAGCCTCCAAAGTGTAGGAAATGTGTGATTTCATCACAGAACTTTCTGATATGCAGTGTTTCCCACAGAATGAATGTAACTGTAGCGCGGGATGGTGTGTGTGCAGTTGATATTGATTACCAGCTATGGACAGCATGCTCGACAACCCAGCTGTATTATAACATTAATAGCTATCCTTATTAGCTAGGCACCTTACATGCATGCTAATAACTTTTTTTTAAGCAGGGTCTCTGACATTGACAGTGTTGTGCAGGATGGATTTATGCAGCGGTGGTCATAAGAGAGAGAGAGAGAGAGAGACGAGGGAGAGACGAGGGAGAGGATGTGCTTCGCGAATGCGCTATGGCGCTTTGCAATGAAATACGATTTTAAATGGCCCCAGTAAAACAAAATTGAAAATGAATATGTGGCGGTCAGTGTTGATGTTGTGGCGGGCCGCCACAAATAAATTAACGTATGGGAAACACTGTGCATCTTTTTTTTACCACATGTTTTACTCTGCCGTTGTTGCTAGACACCGGCTCGTTAGGTTCCCTAGCTCCCCCCACTGACAGTTGCGGAGCGTTACAACTCTGAAAACCTTAGAGCACATTTTCGATTTGCCGTATAAAACTGCCAATATTCGACATCTACACAGTTGATTTCTCACCTCAAAACTTCTCAGAATCTCTGCCTTCAAGTTCACACAAGTTACCAACCGATGCATCCTCGGTAAAATGCGCGTGTCAAGAACACTTCTGGGAATTTTAACTGTTCTTGCCAAAATGCAATCTTGTGGATTGGGACAGTCCTTGGGCCACAAAAGATGATTTTTCACAAAAACACAAGTAGAGACAAGAACACAGATGGTGAAAGGCAGGTAGGTCTTTAAGGTGTGGATGAGCCAGTGTTAGAGCTTTGGGCAGTACAGGGATTTCTCAGGAGTCAGGAGTTCTCCAGGACTTGGGTTTGACATCACACAGAGGGGGTAGACTGACTTTATTTGTATTGCATTTGTATTCTTTATCTGTGTGTCCCCTGTGACAGTGAAAGGAAACTGTCATTGACTCATTTAAATGTTTTGACAAAAAGTAAGCACTTAAAGCACTTAAAACTCCTTCTGAAAGTCAGCCATACAAGTTAGCATAGATTTGACAGCAATAAATGCATGCACAAGGTCTAGGAGAGGGCACTGGCCAGCAGATAGTTTTAGAAGTCATGGTCTTTGTATTTAGCCTCACATGAATCAGACTTTTCTGCCTCTCAGCTCTTTTTGTTTTCAATGAGTCAACTGAGATGATTTTGTTCTTTGTTGCCAGATTGAGGCCGAGTGTCAGGAGGGCTGTTTAGGTGTGTGTATTTGACTCTGTGTGAGTGTGGGTTGTATCGAGGGAGCAGTGCTTGCTTGCTTATATTCAAGTTTGTGTGTGTGTGTGTTTTATCAAGGGAGCTCTCCAAGCTTGAATAAGCCTTTTGTCTGCCTTGGCTGCTCTCTGCTCTGAGCCTGCTGTCCTCCAGGATGCTGTCGGTCTGCTCTGTTTGAATCACTGATAAAGGCCCTTCCTCTCTCTCCCTCAGCTCTCCTCTGTTTCTTTCTCTTAACATTTCCCCTGTAATCTGCAGCCCCTCTCTCCAGATGTTGCTTTTTTCTTTCTTTCTTATTCTCTCACAACTCTCTACAGTGTATGTTTGTTATGCTCTTGTTAAATTTTCCAATTTCCTAATTCCTTCACTCCTTGTGTCCCTCATTCCCTTGGCTTTTCATCCCTCATCTTTGACTTGTCTTCCCACGCCTTTGCCTCCCTTCTGCTTCTCCCCTCCCTTTATATTCCTCCCCTCCTTCCTCTTAGTTTTCCTCTCCTCCCTCCTTTCATTAAACCCCAATCTCTTTCTCTCTCTGTGCCTCCTCCTGCTGCAGTCTGCTGTGATAGAGATATCATGTGGCAGAGACAGCTTTCTAATGATAAAATTAGATGTAGCTGGGACAGAACCCAGACGAACCTTCTTAAAAAAAGATTTTGTATTTCAAAATCTTAGTTCTCAGTGTGTTTTTGTAGCATCAACTTGTGAGTGATACATGGCTTTAATTTTGATTTTTGGTTAAAAATTATTATAGAAGAAGAAAACATTCCTAAAAATGTATTTTTCTTCTTCTTGTTAGTTTACTTTAGGTTAATTTACAAATGTTACAAACCTGTCATCTTACTTTTCCCTCTGCATCATCAATCCAGAATGTATCTGGTCAATTTTGCTAAAAAAAATCACAAATTTCCCCTGATTTTGCCCTTACATTCAGCCACCTGTTATGTGCCTGATGCTAATGTAAAGTCTAAGTCTGACACATCTGACCAGTAGTGTGTGATACTTAATTATCAATGCAACGCAAATCCAACTTTTTCTGTCCAATACCTCAACTGAGGTAACTATTGCTTACCCATGCTCGCCTTTTCCCAGATAGTGAAAACACTGAATTTTATAATTAAATTGAGAAAAAAAAAGTCACATCTTGCAGATACCCGGTCCACTTAGCAAGATCCATCTAGGTACTGATATTGATTTATCCTTTTGGTTCAGGGCAGAAACCAAACGTGATGGTTGAAATTAGATTTTTGATATTGTCTGTCTTTCTCAGCTATCATAGAAAATGTGGCAGAGTTCAGACCAGGCCTGTGCACCGAGGCAGCTCAGCAGGGACTCATGCAGTGGTTGCTCAAGAGAATCAAGGTAAAAATGTGGTAAAAAGTCATTTTTAGAGCTGCAACAATTAATTGATAATAATAATAATTGATGTCAGTCAAAAGAAACTTAATTTGCAAATAGTTATAATCAATAATATAGTATATATAGTAATTATTTAAGTTCAAAATCCAAATATTCTCTTGTTTAAGCTTTTTAAATGGGAAAATGTGCCGTTCTTCCTTGTCTTAACATTATTCTAAATTAACGATTTTGAAGTTGTGTTGATCTGTAAGACATTTTATGACATCACCTTGGGCTAAAGGACGTGACGGATATTTTAAACTGTTTTCTGATGTTGTATAGACCAAACTATTAATTGATGAAGAAAATAATCATTAATTTGCAGCCCTTGCTATTTTCTTTACCTTTTACTGAAAAAAGTCTCTGTTCCACAACTAATTGTGTGTAGTATGAATTCCGGTTCATCAAAACAAGTGAACACATTTTTTAAATAATTGTGCTGAGGTAATTTCACCTATGCTCACTACTGGTGTGGATCACTCTAAAAGATAATGTCAGGCAGTTCTAGGACATTTTAGAAACAAACTTTTCTTTCTTCACTTGCTTCAAATTAGATTTTAACTTAAAAAGACAGTTGTCAGCCCACTGGGAAAATGCCCGGTCTGCCAGATAGTCCAGCTTTGAATTTGAAGTTGATTCAGAAGTTAAAAGATTTAATGATGCCGTATACAACTGCCAAATACAATTTACTAGGCTGCTTACAGTAAAAAAATACATATTTTGTTGTAGAATACATGGTGATTTTATAATACTCTGTACTCTGGAGAACAAAGTTTCTCAAGAAGAGTGGTCATTTTAATTTAGTGTCTTTCGTTCTCCCTCTAAGGCAAAGATGCCGTTTGATGCTAACAAGCTGTACTGCTCTGAAATTCTGGCTATCTTGCTTCAAAATAATGACAGTAAGTGCATCTCAGTTAATGGTTTGTGGCTAACTTTCATGTTTCCATTTGTCTCCTTTGCATTTTTCCATTTGTTTATCTCCCTCTCCCCTTTTCAGGCTTCACATCTCTTTTCTTCTTCTCTCCTTGTCTATTTGCTGTCTTCTCTACCATTTCACTCCTTCACTAAAACCCTGTGTGCCTCATATGGCCACAGGACTATCAGGTCCTTGGACAAGTTTTCATCATTGGTACAAGCCATATTGTTATACAGAGGGAGACATGTTTCATTTTAGACTCATTCTCCTCCTTTTTCCTGTCCTTGCTGTGCTCAAAATACAATTTAACAAAAAATGTTTTTCACATGAATGTTCCCTATTATAATGCCATCAATGTCTTGAAGTAAGAATAATGCAAATCACATGACTACTATTAGGAAAATGACAATTTGGGGAAATCCTGGATGTGCTCATTTGATTTTAATTATCCCTTCCTGCTGTTTTGATTTGACATAAAACACCTGCCTAAAGGTTTTATGTGGAAAGAATACTTGCTGCTGAGGATGAGAATCTCATCTCTACTAATAAAGACCCTGTAGATTCACCATATTTTTTAAATGGAATTTTACTTTACTGTCTAGACAAAGTAACGCATGCAAAACACAACATATTGTTGTTAACATTGTTGTGGCTTTTGCCACTTTTATAGCATTTTTGGGTGTTGGATCCTCCAATTGAAGACATTTGGCCCTCACTGCCATTTGGGACCACTAAGAAGCACAATTGGACTGTGTCACCTTAAAAAAAAAACATGGCTAAATGGAATAATTTGTGTAGATATATATTTTTCAGTGCCCTAGTTTTTCCTCTTTTTCTCTCTCTGGATATCCTTCGTGGCTAGTGTGTTACTCTGTGTTAAAGCGCATCATATGCCTTTTTATAGCACTTCTGGCTTTCCCTACCATTCGCTTTTGCTTTCCTTCATCTATCCAGTTAAACCTTTTTTTTTTTCGGCCCTGGCTTCCGCTACCTAAATGTCTGATTTTGCAACCATCTCAATTTAATCTCCCGGTTGTCATGTTGCTCCATATCTATCTTTTAGTCTTCCCCATCTGTATTTCTCTTTTCCACAGATACAAGAGAACTACTGGGAGAGATGGATGGCATTGATGTGTTACTGCAGCAACTATCTGTAAGATTTTGCTTTTATTCTCTATTTTTAGTTTGCTCTTCTTATTTACTCATCATCCATTTGAGCCTTGCAGGGGGGTAAAGCTCAGTAATTTCTCAAACATGAACATGTCCGGGCCCAAGATTTAACATGACCTGGTCTAACCCTTTGCCAATTTGTAACCCTGTTTTTAGCCTTATGATTTACCTCAGCCATACGTATGATAGATTTAAAAGACCATAAATTAATTTTCATGTGGTCTGAGCATCATGTGACATTTGTGGGCTCCAAATTATAGTTTAGAAACTACCATTAACTAGCATTTTGGTAGTGGATGATGGCATGTTCCCACAGTGTTTAATTTTGTTCTCTTAATTATAATACGGACCTGGCTAATATTTCTATCATGCTAGACTTATTCCCTCTTATCATTATAGGAGCTCATACTGCTCACATTCCTAAACAACTCTAATCTTCTTTATGTAAAAGCAACATGCCTGCCTGGGTTTCCTTTCTAAATGCTCCCTTTGTCAGTGCTGTCCGCTCTTGCCTACCTTGTCAGGTGTTCAAACGTCACAACCCGTCCACAGCCGAGGAGCAGGAGATGATGGAAAACCTCTTTGATACTCTGTGTTCCTGCCTCATGTTGCCAGCCAATCGGGACCGCTTTCTCAGAGGGGAAGGGCTTCAGCTAATGAATCTCATGCTTAGGTGAGGCTGTAGTACAGTATAAGAAATACTAGCAGTGGGACTCAAATGTGAGTTATACTTTATATATTCTATACTTGAATCGACGGCGTAGCCTACGAGTAGATTGGTCGGCTGGGTAGCCTCACAGGAAGTGTCCCGAAGTAAATTTTACTTGCGGCCAATCTAGCGGCTATAACACGGTGGATCAAAATATTTGAGCGTCACAAGCCAAACAAAACGACTCGTTTCACTATCATCAATGTGATCCATTCGGTCAATAACATTTGAAGTCTGTAACAGCCGCACGTATATAATTTTACCCCCATTCAAATTAGCGGAGGGCTAAACCGGAAATTAGCCTGCTCGGCCAGCAAAAGTCAACACAATGGACGCTGTTTGGTGATGTAATTGCAGAACGACGTACACAGCGACGCACAAGTATAGCTGATGCCGTAGGCTACAGCATAGACCCTACACAGGAGTATAAATCACACTTGAAAACATTTAGTATTTCTTATTTGTACATATTTTCCCCTCTGTTAGCTTTTAGTTACTTGTTATTGAAGGTGTGTAATTTACCTGTAAACAAACAAAGGTTATGTTTACATTGTGTTATTTTCCAAAACGCATCACCAAGATCTAACAAATGTTTTGAGTACATTTCTTCCTCATAAAACATGTGCACTTTTTTTGCATAGTTGTAGTATTTTCAATTGTACATTGTTTACATTCATGTTTGCTAGCTTGCACTCAACAGGTTGGGCAGTAACGTAGTGTACTTGCAAAATGAGAACAGGTTGTATGGTAATATAATATATACCGAGATGGTTAAACCATCTGTCTTTCTCTGATAAAAAATAAGTATTGAGGGATGAGGAAAGTGTGGCGAAGAACTTCCTACATGAATTTGTTTTGAATAGTCTGTTTGTGAGCTTGCTGGAAGCTGTGATAAAAGAAACTTAAGTCAGCTGTGTGTGTTACCTTTATTTAGCTTGAGTGGGTGCATCAGTTGAATCTCAGCTGAAGCAGTGCAGTTCATCTTAAATTAGACTATGCGTGGTGCGTCACTTCAACAGACACAGTGTTAGGTAAGGCTAGGTAAGCATTGATCAAGCTTGAGTAAATTGAAATCTGTGATGGTACAGGCCATTTATTTTGCACACCTTTATGGATTAGGCTCAGTCAAAGATAGAAGTATTTATTGCAATACAGCATTTAAGGTTTAAGGTTTGTTCATGATGAACTGTTTTGACAATTTTCTGAAACACAAATGCATTATGTGTGAAGTATGTTCCTGGTATAATATTAACCTCCTACAGCATACTGAAGTACAAGGTGGAATTTACAACAGATGGGCAATAAGTGCTTCAGTGCCATGAAAATATTCTTTAAAAGGACAATATTCAACATTGATTGATATACCACGTGGTCCTTGTGTGCAGTACTGGAGCATGTTAGGCCTACCTTCTTTTACAAGTATACTACTCGTGCAGCACCCAGTAGCTGTTTGTCACTTTGTGCCGCTCTTTCTCTCATTCGCTCCACCACTCACTCCCGATGAACACACACTGCACTCCTTCAAAGACCTGACGTTAACTCCGCTGCTCTTATGACAGAAGCTGTCACGTATGTCCTTTGATGAATGAGGAGAGGAAGCTAGCAGGCGTGTGTTGCTGTGCTCGCACAGTGTGCGGGTGAAAATCAGTAGTTCCGCACTGACATTAATAATTGAGTGAAATTTTAGTAGCAGCAGTCGTTATTTAGCAGCGGCGATATGCCAAATATAAGGTATCCATGTCTCCGTAATGTGGACTTCAACATTACCATATCAACTAACATTCAGATAATCGATTTTTAAAATCTGTGAATGGAAAAAAAAAAATTAACCCAGCTTTAATAATTGAGCATATTTGCAGTACAGACATTGTCAATGAACTATGAGGGCAAAACAACAACAAGAAAAGGCAACATTCAAAACAAAATAATCGTTCAATAATCGTATTCGAGGTAAAATGTTTAATTAATCATGATTTAGTATAGTATTGTAGGTGAAATCGTCCAGCCCTACTTTCTGTACTGTGAAAATTTGAACACTTTGGTGGAGTGCAGCAACACAGTTGGTGGAGTGCAGCAAGGCAGAGATGTGACCTTAAAGAGCCATAAAGACACATTACACGCAATTATGAAACCTTCACAGCTTCTGCACTGATAATCATATCATTGGACACGAAGATTTAAGACTTGGATCAATATCTCATTATTGGAATGCAAAAAATATTTTCTGTTAAATCATCCTCCAGGGAGACAGAGACCAAGATATGAGTTTTAGAAACGAATTATTATATATATGTTAAATTTCATTCTACACTTACAGAGCCCAGGGTTGGGGCTACAGAACATGAACTTTGTTTGAATCAACAACAATCTCAACAATCTCCACTGCCATCAGAAACAGAAGCAGCCCAAGCTGTCCCCATGCTGCATCTCAGTAGGCGCTGTAGCCCCTACATTTTTTAGTAGGTGCATGTCAGCTAGGGAGGAGCTTTGGAGCATGAAGTTTGCATTGTATGTCATAACTACTACAGTTGTTTTGCCCATTATAATATACTGTATACTTCATCAGTATCATACAAGCTTAAATACCAGATCACTTAAGATCACACATTCAAAACACCAGTTGAAAAAATGTTTTTGGGAATTTTCTTTTATAATAAAAAAAACACACAGACAATCCTTATGAAAATCTATCCAAAAGGAAGTAGAACAATGTTACAGAAGCACACACAACCCAAACCTGTTTGAGTTTTAAGGAGATACTCCACTGTATTTTTGCAAATAAAGGTCAGTTTACTCTACTACAGTCTGTGAAAATAGCTGTATAATGTATTTTGTGCCTCTGGAGGAGATAGTAAAACATTGTGTAAATAAAGATGCTATTGAATTCCAACATGGGAAATATAGAATCGAGATATTGTGGAGCTTGACTCACACTGTCAGGATATATAGGCTTCAGTTATGACCATTCTTTTTTTAAACCAAAAACTGTCCCCCAACTTTATGGAAGTGCAGTAATAAATTACTGGAGTGCCCCTTTAATGCTCTTTCTTTCTGTCTGCAAAATAAACAAATAAACTAGAGACCTTTTGTGCTACATACAGATTTCACACCTGTTTTTTGTTTTTTTTGGGCTCAGCTGTTTCAGACCAGACACCTCCTCCTAAAATTGAGAGGTACCACAGCCATTTTTATAGACATATCTGTAAAATAACCATATACTTAATCCATGGTGACTAAGAGACCAGTAGTTAAAAAACCTTTTTTCTTCTAATTCAAATGTTTGCTTTTATTTTACAGACTGGCCATTAAACACACACAGTACATTACATACATACACACTGCATAGACAAATTACCTACAAAAAAAACACAGAATATGTGCACAAAAGCAAACAAAGGAATATGAGAAAAAGATCCTTGACAATCTTCTTATTGTAGTATTGTAATCGTATTATACACCATTACACACAATCCAGTAAGGAGTTCAAATATGACTTTATTGTATCCCATTCTTCCTGTAAGCTCCGATCAAGATGCCTTAATGTGGCGGTACCTCTTTCCATCCCTATGAAATCGATAAACTCTTCCAACCAACTTCTAAAACACATTTGAGAATATTTTGGTCAGACTATGGGGTGTATAGTCTGATCACGTCAGTCAGCACAGGTTAATAAACTTTCAGCCAGGGCCCATCTTTCATTCAGTCTTATTTAGAATGTGAGTCTAATCGTAAACCTGCTGCTGTCACGTTAGTACCCACTAGGCATCCACATTTTGGGTTAACAGCGGCGTAGTTGAGTTAAGTCAGCTGTCTACCAGCTGAATTGCCTAGTTTTCCTTGGAAAGTACTCTGTGTATCACTTCCCCTGGCCCCTCTAGCCGTCCATCATATATATTGTGTCTGTCTGGAGAACCAGACTCAACTGCCTGAAATATGTGACCCTCCTCTGAGATAAACACAGTTATCTGTCATTGGTGGGAATGGAGGAAGTGACACAGTGACAGACGGCTACATTTCCTGTGAGGAGGCATGGGCTGGGGGGATGACCAAGAGGGAATCAGTTGGTGTCCCTTATCATGCCAATGCTTTGATGATGGAAAACTGTATTTAGTAGTTTATTACATGAAACAGGTGTTCAGAATTAACATGGAAACAATTGTTTTTGTTATTTTTTTGTTTATTTTTTAAGTTGAGCATTTCTTTAGTTTCCATGATTTTGTGTAAGAGATTGTGTGGCTCATGATGAAAATAGTTTTCTTTGTAGTTTAGTTAAAGGTACATTCAGCCATTTGTCCATGTGGGGTACTGTAGAAACACGGCGGCACAACATGGCGATGTCCATGTAAGAAGACCCGCGGTGTTTTAGATAGAAATGTCTCATTCTAAGATAATCAAAATTTAAAAAATTACCCTGAGTCATTGGGAACAGTTGTTTTAATCAACTCAACAGGTGAAAATCAGAAGCTCTCTGCTGTTGGTTTGTGGAAAGTCATGGCTAAGACAAAGGAGCTCACTGAGGACCTGCGGCTGCGCATTGTGGCTGGCCACAAGTCAGGAAAGGGCTATATGACCATATCTAAATGTTTTGAAGTTCCAGTGGCTACAGTACAGTAATAAGTATTATTAAAAAATACAAGATGTTCCACACTGTGAAAAATCTCAGAGGACGTGGTCGGAAGCCAAAAGTGACACCTGTGCTGGCCAGGAAGATAGTGAGAGAGGTAGCACAACAATGACCCAAAACACACAGCAAACGCGGTGAAGAAATGGTTAGCAGACAAAAACAGTAACGTTTTGCAGTGGCCCAGCCAGAGTCCTGACTTAAATCCCATTGAGCATCTGTGGAGGGAGCTAAAGATCAGGGTGATGGCAAGGAGACCCTCCAACCTGAAAGAGTTGGAGCTTATCACCAAAGTTGAATGGGCAAAAATACCAGTGGAGACGTGCAGAAAATTGGTCAGCAATTATAGCAAGGGTTTGATTGCTGTAATAACCAATAAAGGCTTTTCGATTGATTATTGAGATGGGTATGCTCCGTACTTGTATGAATAATTTTGGACCTGCCAAAATAAATACATAAATAATACATGTATGTATTGCATTCTGTCAATAGATCCTCCTAAATATTACACCCTGACCTTTAATATTTATTGGATTCCATCAGAGTCCTCATTTACAGTATACTGGACTCTGATGGGCTAACAGTATCAACTAAACTATTATAAATGAACTCAATGTTGTGTATGTGATGATATGTAAAAATAAATAAATGAAATAGTGTTGTCTTACCAGTTCACTCAAAATACAAAGGTTGATGGCAGCTATCTTAACTGTAGACATACCTTTTGTACTTTATTGGAAATGTGTGTGTTCTTTATATCTATTGAAACAACATTAGTATCTCTAACTTCAGCATTGTTTCCTCTCTCTTCTGCAGAGAAAAGAAAATGTCTCGTACCAGTGCTCTGAAGGTCCTGGACCATGGGATGATTGGACCAGAGGGAGCAGATAATTGCCACAAGTTTGTAGACATCCTTGGCTTAAGAACCATCTTTCCACTTTTCATGAAAACCCCCAAGAAGATGAAGAAAAGTGGTGCTTCAGAGAAAGAACATGAAGGTCAGTCAATAATTAGAACAAGGCAACAGCAGACAATATTTCTTAACAAAGGCTGGAAACCTGTCACCCTGTTTTGTCCTGTCTTGTGACCCTGCCAAGCAGTAAAAGTGGTCAAAAACAAATTCAATGTCATAACAAACATACAAAGGAAACAAAGCACTGATAATGACACATTTGAGATCAATGGATTCCAGAAATACAATGGAAAAAATTATTTGGCTTTTATTTCCATAGTTCACACGTCCTAGAAAGCACTGAATGCAGCAACACTGTAGTGGATGGCTGAAAAAATAGAGAAATTACATGTCATGGTACTCATGCATTTGGCTATGTTAAAGACCAAAAAACAGTTTAAATGGTTGGGCTGGGAACTTTTTTAATTGACAGTATTTTATTTTGTTGTGAAATGCATAAATTCCCTGCAAAGATTGAGCTAACCTATGTCTGACAGGTGATAGGTATAACTGTGAAGAAACCCAATAATTAAGTTTATCCGTACTGTTATTTGTTATGTTTATTCATCCTTATTCAAAATTGACCCAAGTCCGATTTTTTTTGCTCATATGTGGCTCAGATCTGAAATTTCTTTTTTTTTTTTTTATGACATTGTGAACGGCCGAAGTCACATGATATGATGATCTTTTCCAGTTCGGATTTGGGCCACTTTCATATGTGGTACAAATCCTATACAGATCGAATTTTTTGGAATGCTACTTCAGTCTGGACACTCAGATCGGAAGTGATGCAACTTTGACGTCACTCTAGAGCAGCTGCTCCCCAGCCAGACGGAGCCGCAATGAACGAAAAAGCTCCACTAAGGCCATTATTATACTGCAGTGGTGTGAAAGTATTTGTCGATTTCTTATTTTTTTGCATGTTAGTCACACTGAAATGTTTCAGATCATCAAACAAATTGAAATATTAAAATATAACATAACACAAGTAAACACAAAATGCGTTTTTTTAATGAAGATTTTTATTATTAAGGTGAAAAAAATCCAAACCTACATGGCCCTGTGTGAAAAAGTGATTGCCCCCTAAGGCTAATAACTGGTTGGGCCCCCTTTAGCAGCAACAACTGCAATCAAGCGTTTGCGATAACTGGCAATGAGTCTTTTACAGGCTGTGGAGGAATTTTGGCCCACTCATCTTTGCAGAATTGCTGTAATTCAGCCACTTTGGAGGGTTTTCGAGGCTTAACCGCTTCTTTAGGGTCATGCCACAACATCTCAATCAGGTCAGGACTTTGACTACGCCACTCCAAAGTCTTATTTTGTTTGTTTTAAGCCATTCAGAGGTGGACTTGCAGGTGTGTTTTGGGTCATTGTCCTGCTGCAGAACCCAGGTGAGCTTCAGCTTGAGCTCACGAACAGATGGCCGGACATTCTCCTTCAGGATTTTTTAGTATACAGCAGAATTCATGGTTCCATTTATCACAGCAAGTCTTCCATGTCCTGAAGCAGCCAAACAGCCCCAGACCATCTACTATTCCAAATTTTCCTCAAACCTGATCTGCAAACTGGCTTTAATATTCATTCAAAAGGTTCCATGTAACATTACAACAGTAACTTTAAAATATGAATATGATAATGTCTAAGGGATTCATTGTGTAGATGAGTTTTAAGGATATTGTTCTAATGTCCTCCAAATGTCACAATTATTAAATAATAATTATTATTATTTGTCAAGTAAATCTGGAGATTGTTGATTGCTCATTAAGGCAATTGCACTAATCACCATTGGGTCTTGCTTCCCCTGCTTTTAGTTTTCTGCAATGTGTAGTCACACCCATTTCCTGCAGACACACTCTATCCTAATCTTCTCATGTATCACGGTTTGCTGCCTCTTTGGCCTGTCAGTTTACACTATCAATCCAATCTTGATTGATTTTTCTGCCTGCGCTCTCAAACCTCTCTTGTCTTAGAGTGAGAGATAGGAAGGGCAAACAAGAGCCAGAGAGAGTAAAAGATAGGATGTCCATGTGATACAGGGCGAGATAATAAAAAAAGTGTAGAGAATCAAAGAAAAAGTGGCCCTGTCCATCTCCCTGCTCTTTGTGTGATTACCTACGCACAAAATGTGGAACCCCTCCTGATTCATCCGGTGGGGCTTCCCATCCCTACAGAGGAGAACAAATTGTCCTCTATTGTGTCCTGTCTCACACATTGAGTGGATGAATTAACCTTTGACCTCCTCAGGCAGCAGGAGAAAGAGTAGGGAATATAACTCCTCCTAACAGTTAAACCATTCCCACCTGTGTTGAAGCCCCTGGCAAGGCAGACATGCACTTAAAAGACAGGCTTTGAAAAGAGATATGGAGATCCACCCTGAAGGATCTGTCTGCCTGGAAGATTTGGCAAGTCTGAATATGTGCATATTTCTCAATCAAAGCTATATCTAGAGATCCACAGTATGATGATCTATGGAGTAGGGCTGAAACGATTCATCGACCAAATTGATTAATAAAATGCATCGACACAAACTCTTTGCATCGATGCTTTGTTTAATCCATATAACTATTTAGCAAACTGTTCACACGGACATTTATTACTGTCGCACATCGTGCTTACGCTGAGAGAGAGAGAGAGAAAACAGCGAGAGACAAAGAAGAAAGTGTCCAAAGTGTGGGATTATTTCAAGCTAAAGAAAACAACAACTCTGTAATGTTACAGTCCGTCCACCTTATGTCGCCTCTGCAACAGCATGACAATGTTCTGCCAGCGGACCACAGACAAGGTAACAGCAACTTTAGCATTTTACTGAAATCATGATTGATTGTCGAGTTGAAGCCAAAGTAAGCCGCAGTCCTCAGCTGAAAATGTGCACACTTGCGTTTGTTGTTCTCCTTTTTGGCCCGTGAGTTTTAACCTCACAGTCAGGAGTTAACTGGGTGTCAGGAGCTGCACGTTTTAACTCACCTGTAGCTCTCTCTGTAGCTCAGACGTTTCCTGCTACCTGCGTGTGCTAATCCATCCTTTCACCCAGAGTCTTTGTCTTTATAATCGCCATCTTTATAATAACAAACAGCTGTTTCGTGTGCAGGATCGCTCATTTCCCGTTTCACATTTGTGTGTTTTCTTGATAAAAGCTGTCTGGTTGTTGGTCTGATGTTTGATGTATGACACACTATGAATTTCCGATTTTCGAAAGGTCCAATAAATATCTATCACCTATAAACTTGCACAGCTGATCCCGGGGGGGAGGGGGCATTGCAGCCGCCAAACAAAAGTACTTCTTAAACGACTCATAGATGAGTCGTTGAAATAATCTATAGAAGCTTCACATACTAAAATCATCCTTAGCTGCAGCCCTACTATGTGTTAAGAATATTTCTCAAGTGTCTTAATTGATGTAACAGGGAAAGGTAAGACAGGTCAAGCTTAGAGTAATGTAACTGATCCCATAAGTGTTTGACATTATAGCTTTAGGTATTTCTCACATGTACTTGTCCTTGTCAGGGACACAACAATAGACTGATTAGTTAGAAACAGCAGCTCAGGCGTCAGGCTAGCAGATATCAGTGTTCTCTGTGAATCTTACAAGGTTGAGTCCTGGAAGAATGTTTACAAGAACTCACTGGCTCCACAGATTAGAGTACAACTCATGGATAGTGAGAGATTCCAATATGATGAAGCACTGGAGTCTAAACATCAGATAGATTTGTTGTTCTAGGTGAAAGGTCACCTAATGCTGAAACCTACAGGCACAAGGGGGAAGACATAAAAGGGACCAAAAGATATTCTCCTTCAGATTTGGTGTTGGCATTTGACGTGTTCACATGTTGTATGCTGGCACTGTGTAGAGACTATGGAGTATTTTTTGTGAGTAAGGAGGAGGAGTAAATCAGTATGATGCGGGCCTTTTAATTCAGCAGCTCTATTTCTTGACATCCCTTGCTTAGAGTCTAATTGTTTTAGTCCTGTGTTCATTGTGAAACCCCCTAGCATAAGCATACTTCATAGCCAACTTTGTAAACTTGACAGTAACTTGACAGGTACCCATTACTACCCATTAAATAATGATGCAGTCGAAGTAAAACATATACAATTTTAACTGCTTTTGTACACCTTTTACTAGCAAATATGACCTGTTGAACTTACTACATCTTATTGTCACAACTATGATGACTATAAATATTGTCACAACTTTAGTTTCACAAGCATTTGATATGCAATTTAGACATATAAAGAAATAAACAAAATATAGCCCAGTTTCAGTGGATGGCTAGACATCATATTACCTGCAAATCAGCAACCAAGCTTACTGGGCTGCGCTGTTAATAGCTGCTCCAATCCCAAACTGCACCTGCGGAAAAAACAAAAGCAAAATGACCACCATTATTTTCCAGCACTGCCTTAACCCTCTTGGGCTTCACAAGTTGCCATTGGAGTCCTCTTCCACTCCTCCATGACGACATCACGGAGCTGGTGGATGTTAGAGACCTTGCTCTCCTCCCCCTTCTGTTTGAGGATGCCCCACAGATGCTCAATAGGGTTTAGGTCTGGAGACATGCTCGGCCAGTCCATCATCTTTACCCTCAGCTTCTTTAGCAAGGCAGTGGTCGTCTTGAAGGTGTGTTTGGGGTCGTTATCAAGTTGGAATACTGCCCGGCGGCCCAGTCTCTGAAGGGAGGGGATCGTGCTCTGCTTCAGTTTGTCACAGTACATGTTGGCATTCATGGTTCCCTGGTGGTTCGTGGCACCTGGTTGCTGCGACACACGCATGCTCGACACCATCTGAACCAAATAAGTTTATCTTGGTCTCATCAGACCACAGGACGTGGTTCTAGTAATCCATGTCCTTAGTCTGCTTGTCTTCAGTTTGCGAGCTTTCTTGTGCATCATCTTTAGAAAAGGCTTCCTTCTGGGACGACATCCATGCAGACCAATTGGATGCAGTGTGCGGCGCATGGTCTGAGCACTGAGAGGCTGACCCCCCACTCCTTCAACCTCTGCAGCAATGCTGGGAGCACTCATACGTATATATTTCAAGACAACCTC